ACCAAGAAAAAGCCAAAAAATAAGCCTTTTAACGGAGATACAAATATCCGTCACCTTCAAGTGCAACTGCCTGCTTTGGCCAAGGCAAAACTAAGTTTGAAACAATATATTTTGTTCTCAGCGACTGCTGGCAGCAGCTCAACCAAACTGAAGTGATGATGGATGTTTAAATAATAATTAATACATGAAATAGGACAAGAGATTCCTATTAATTCTAATTAATTTGTAAAATGATGAAATATTATTTGTGTTATGCATAATTTTAACTTGAATTTCGTTATCGAGAATACGCACAATTTTTTTGTTTTTTTTTGCAATTGCACTATTGTAAGTAGGTGGGTAGGTAAGTTATACCCCACCAGGACAGCAGTCAGAGCGATAAACACCCGATGACACAAAGTGCCACCTTGGGGATGAGGATCACCCGTGAAGCGGTCCCGGGAACCCCGTTCAGTCGTTATGCCATATTTATGGGGTTTTGAAATAACTAAAAATTGCATCCTACAAGGGCAAGTGCAAATACCGAAAAGTATTTTTTACAACTTCTACATTGATTACGCGTCGTTTTTAAACAAGTTAAAAATTTAATAATTTCATATTTCAAGTGACTTTTTAACTAGGATATTAAATGATGCCCTTTTATATGTGTTTTAAATTGACAAGTCTTATTAACTTTGCGTAAACTAGGCGACATATTTTTAAGAATCCACCTTTGGCTAAACGCTCGCATTTTGGCTCGAATGTCACAGGCTCAGATCCACTCTTAGAGTGAATCTGTATAATTAACTTTTGTTCCCAGATATCACCACCTAAATGGGTACCAGAATGTATCATGGAAAGGAAAGGCGAGCCACGAGTCCCACTACATCACCCATTGGGTGGCAATTGTAAAGTTAGTTTCGTAGCCTTTACAGGACGTTGCATTTACGTCTGGTAGTTTGTCACCGATCTCTGGTTGGTCGACTTCTGGATACCACTGTCTAAACCAACGCAAGAAATAAGGCCGACAGCTGGGATCAAACCTGGCAACCCGGGGCATTACGAAGGGCGTTCGCAACGCTTAAGCCACAGATGCTGGAGTAGCGATTAGTCTATAAAAATTTAGATAAGTTGAAATTATACGAGTATGTCTGACATCTGCGTAATGCCCAGGAGCAGAGTTCGATCACAGCTACGATCGTTTTGTCGTGCGTTGGTTATTTTTCAGTGGTACCGAGACTGACCTTTGAGTGCAATTAAAAAAAATTACTCAATGTTGCATAGACAAAAAATAAACAGCCATAAATTGATGGGGTTGGTTCTGGAATATGTAAAGGAGACGCAACAAATCAGCTGACACAATAATAACCTAACAAAAGAATTTACATACGAGTATTAGTCAGCTCTGTAAACGAAAATATTAAAAGCTATCATTGACTTGTATGTTTCGAGAAAAAAAAAAAAAAAAAATACATATATTTAAAACAAGGAGGAAAAAATATTTGACAGTAGAACAACCTTTAGGTCGATTACCCACCGCTGCTATGTTCAGAGAAACGAATCGAAAGCGAAGCGTTTTTACCAACAGAAATGACACGTGCTCTCAAAAAGACCTGGCCTAAAGACTAACGCTAGTAAATTATCTAGGACGTCAACGAGGTTGGCCTGTTTTGACCACAACCGCCATTGGGTCACTAACAATACTATAAAATGTATGCGCCAGCCAACTTTAGGAATCCATGTTGATCACATAGCAATAATGAAGAAAAAACTGCATCTGCTGTGAATTAAACGTTTGCTGTCAGTATCGAGCCCGGTACCCTAGGTTTTTCTTAATACAAATTCTATTTTCCATGTCTGATTTTGAAGAGGCATTTCGTGAGAGCAATGGGGAGTGGGCTAAAAGAAAGATATGTTGTTATCACAGAATAGAAAACTCCATCTATTCATTGACAAGGTCAGCTTTCTTTGTTTCGAAGTGAGATGGCTTTTTCTGGTGCAGTCTTTTGTTGTAGCCTTGACACAAGACGGAATCATTTCATTTGAGGTCTCTTGATGTTATTTATCACAGGTTCCGTCTCAGTTTTTCTCCTGACATCTTCAATTCTGGGTTCTATCTGTCTTGGCAGTAAAAACGCATTGACCACTACACCCACAACGGTTCTAACATTAATTTTTGTTCTCAGTAATATCATCATCATCATCATCATAATCATCACCAGCTTCCATTTTAGGCATTAGGGTCCGCTGGAAAGAACAGTTTGCGATCCGTTGCTTGATGGGCAGCAATAGTTACTGTCTTTCAGTGTTGATGTAGAAGCTCTCTAATGTCATCAGTCCCTATTCTCCTAGGGTGATCTCTTCCTTCCAGTGTAGATGTAGATGTAGAAGCTCTCTAATGTCATCAGTCTGTATTCTCCTAGGGTGATCTCTTCCTTTCACTTCAAATCTTTTCAAGCGTAGCGACTGCTTTAGTAGTTGACATAATGGGTAAATATTGAGGAAACAAAACATATTACACTATTGATTACCTGACATATTTCGTTGTATCTCGTCAGGTTTACTAACACAAAATTGAATCGACATTAAACGAAGTAAAGAAATGAATTCATGTAATTAAAAACTGCTAATTATTTTTCCTCTTGTTTTAATATACAAATACCACTAAAGTCTCCCACTAAACACTTGAAACTTTTATTCATTCATAAAGCACTAACACTAAAATAGCTAATACACACAGAATAATAATAGTTTTAAGAATACTAATAATAACCCTTATATATATATATATATATATATATATATATATATATATATATATATATATATATATACATATATGTACAATTCCATTCAGTTATTTGACTGTTTAAAAAACAAAACACACACACACACATATGTTTGCTGCTTTTCCTCTAAAAAAGTTTTCATGAAGAAATATTATGTCGATTGAAGGCGACCTACGTCAAGTTGACCACTCCTTCAAGTACCGATTTGTCAATACACATTTGAGTCGAGTACAATGCGCCTATGGCACCACAATTGTGCTGTACAAAGTACAACTTGATACTATGAACCAAGACGATGAAAAACATGAACATCCCAAATGATCTGAACTTTGAGAAAACCTGGTTCATAAACAGCATCCTGTGCCGAGAGCTGCGGCATGGTGGCCATGTTTAACGCCATAGATGCCTGTATCGAACGATGATGGTGGGTGAAGTTTCCAGAAAACAAGGCAGTGGTCGACCTCCGCGAATGTGGATACAAGTCATTGACAACGCATTGGTGATAAAAGCACATAGGGCTGGAATGTTTGCTTCACGTAGGGAGGGACGTTCTGTAAACGACCTGTTGTTTGATGAATAATTTTGACAATGATATCACACATTTCGTCAATCACTCAGGTGCCGTCTCTACAATAGAGGTTCGCTGCAATGAAGTGCCAAAACGATCTGTCTCTTGTCTTAGTTGTACACTCTCTTAGACTGCTAGTTGTCCATCTCGGGATATTGTCCTCCCATTTTTATTTGTTGTCTTTACCAAAACCTCTATATTTGACTGTTATTGTTTGCACGAAATGCGACCTATTATTTTTTACAACCGCTTTTTTTTTGGGGGGGGGGGGGGGGGGGGAGGGGAAAAGACAAGTCGATTTTCTAGTTACTTGCTCGTTGTTGAAGTTTCTGCACTATACAACAGGGATAAGTATACATAATGCATAACCCATTTCATCTCAAGCATTCATACAAGGTATCAACAATTTCCAAAGCACATTTTCAAGTTATTAGCGAACTCACTTCATTCGATTTATAATTGTAAAGTGTACAGAAGCTGTTTCATAATTTTCTGGAATTTATCTCAAAATATATTATGTGATTCTGGAATTTATTTTGAAAGTGCTTGCATGGTCGAAGAGGACTGGTCATCTTATGTAATATATCTGAAAACTATTAAAAGTCTGAGCAGGCCTAATACACCAAGAGTGCATTACTTGGTAACCAAAAATGAGGGCTTAAAGGTACAATAAATCTAATTAGTTACATAGAATATTTAACGTCGTATTTTTAAAGAATCTATACCACATTTTCTTAACACTTTTGATGCGTTAGAAAATATGTGGTAGAAATAAATCACCAGTTATATAAATATAAATATATATCCTGCCTTTTTTTCAGGTAACCTCAAGATTGCAATAAGACTTCAATCAAACCATCAACAATTATCATGGAAATAATAACATTTACAGCGATCGCCATCACAATTCTTCAAGTGTCTCTTGTCACGCTGGCAAAAGACCTCACCTTGGACACACAAGGTCTTCACTCACAGCAAACACACTTTTCCCAGCTAGGGAATAACTACCCAGCTTTAGAAACTGTCTCCATCGAGGTGCCTGGTGCCAGTTCTTTCGACGTTGATCGCGATAAGCTCATCCTGCCTGTTGACAGTAAAGAATTGAAAGACGAAGGGCTGCATAACTCGCAGTTTCAGTTGTTTAATAAAAATAATTGGGATTCCTTAGGGCATTTAGGAGAAACCATGTGGCCAGAAGGGTCACCGGTAAATCATAACAGTGGTGAAACTGAAGGTCTAATAGGTCAAAATTCTAACAATGAATACGTCGATAAGAGAAAATGGTCAAGTTTCAGTTCCTGGGGAAAAAGAGATGGCTCGAATTTCCCAGATGGAGATGCAGGGAAGCGCTGGAAAGAGATGTCTGTTTGGGGAAAAAGGGAAAATGACATGGATAAGAAGTGGAAAGAGATGTCGGTATGGGGAAAAAGGGATAAACTGATGGATAAAAAGTGGAAAGAGATGTCTGTATGGGGTAAACGGGATGATGCAATGGATAAGAAGTGGAAAGAAATGTCTGTGTGGGGAAAAAGAGATGATACGATAGATAAAAAGTGGAAAGAAATGTCTGTGTGGGGGAAAAGAGGCGATGCGATAGACAAAAAGTGGAAAGAAATGTCTGTTTGGGGAAAACGAGATGATGACTTGGAAAAAAGTGGAAAGAAATGTCTGTTTGGGGAAAACGTGATGACAGTATGGATAAAAAGTGGAAGGAAATGTCTGTGTGGGGGAAAAGGGATGCCGAGATGGACAAAAAGTGGAAAGAGATGTCGGTTTGGGGAAAACGGAATGATGAAATGGATAAAAAGTGGAGAGATATGGCTGTCTGGGGAAAAAGGGACCAAGAAGTTCCAAATGTAAATTGGAACTACATCGCAGCTTCCGGAAGACACAGTCTTACACCAGATTTGTATAAAAAGTGGAAGGAAATGGCTGTCTGGGGAAAAAGAGAAGACGGTGACTTGGACAAGAAATGGAAAGAGATGTCGGTTTGGGGAAAAAGAAATGATGAACTTGAAAAGAAGTGGAAGGAAATGGCTGTTTGGGGAAAAAGAAACAACGAATTAGATAAAAAATGGAAAGAGATGTCTGTTTGGGGGAAAAGAGACTATGATAAAAAATGGAAAGAGATGTCAGTTTGGGGGAAAAGAGATGATGCCCTTGATAAGAAATGGAAAGAGATGTCTGTGTGGGGAAAACGTGACGGCGATTATGATAAAAAATGGAAGGAAATGTCTGTCTGGGGTAAAAGAGATGATGCCCTTGATAAGAAATGGAAAGAAATGTCTGTATGGGGAAAACGCCTCACGCTGCCAGACCTAGATAAGAAATGGAGAGACATGGCAGTCTGGGGAAAAAGAAACGGTGAACATTTCGATAACAATAATGATAATAATAATGTAGACAAAGACGGGGCGTGGGAGAAACGTACATTACGGCATGTTAGAAATTGGCGCGACATGGACATGTGGGGGAAGAGGCCCAGCTGGAGCAAAACAGGATTCACAAGCTGGGGCAAAAGATCGCAAGACGTAGATCTCAGTATACTTCAAGATTACATTCAGAGGACAAAGCCTTTCTTAGGTGAGTTCTTCTCTTTCCACAAATATAGAACATAGTGTGTTTATCCGTCTGTTTGTATGTATTGCTACCTGTCTGTTTATCTACCCTGTTTGTCTGTTTATCTGTTTCTCTTTCTGTTTATCTGTCTGTTTGTGTCTGTCTCTTTATCTGTTTGTTACTTTGTCCGTTGTGTGAGGAGATTGGAGGTTGAGTAAAGAACTGATCACTGAGACTCTCTTTCTCTCCCGTTGTATCCCACCAGTACATCACACAAGCGATAAAAACCCGGTCTCACAACGTGCCACCACGCTGATGAGGATCACCCGTAGATGGAGGTCGCAGAAACCTCTTTCAACCGTTATAATTTTTTGTACCACATCCTTGCTGTCCCATTGACACTACTGTGTTTAAGTTGTTATTACTAACTTTTGTATTGAGGTTTCAAATGATGCATAGGACTTTATCTACTACCCCCTGCAGTCTCCAAAAGATAGTTTCTTTATCTTCTTGAGCTTTATTAGTCGGTGCGTAGCATTGATTCTGGCATGTTTTCCATTGAAACGTGCTGTCATAATTGTTTCGTTGATTGTATACCACTCTATAAGTAGTTTCTGTATACCTTTCTTTAAAATGAGTGTCACGCCTGCAAAACATAGGTCATCGTCTCTTTCAGAGTGTATTATGGTTTCTCCTGTACCTGTGGTGGATTGTCCAAAACCTGTTCACCTGCTTTCACTGATTCCTGGATAACCCAGTTTGAAGTTCTGCATTTGTTTGAAAAAAGAGTCCTTTACTTTTACTGTTATGGCTTTTTTTTAAAAGAGTGTTCATCTTTGTGTCAGCGTAAGTGGATTAGGAGTTTTGACAACTGTTTAATCATTCCAGCGTATCTTGTTCGATTCAGCAGCAGGTAAACCGACAGCAGACTGCTTTAGGGGGATGTCGAGAACGGAATAAGCGTCGCCCATTTAAAACATAAATAACTATATGTGAACGCACAAACAGCGACCACAAGGTGGGGTTGTTATGCTATGCCCATGAAGAGGATATGCAACTGTCTTTCTGTGTCTGTTAATATCGCTGAGATTTTGTATGTCTAATTTTTTTTAATGTTTTTTTTATTTTTTATAATTTACTTTAACCGTTTATTCATTTTCAATCCTGTCAAAAAGCATGAGGAATTTTTGACCACGCTTTGTAAATGAATGACTTTCCACTGGAAAATCAAAGACATCAATGGTAAATGAAACCCATGCATGATAAGTGAAAAAAGACACCAAGCTAGGCGACGACACCGTCTCCAGCGAACGGAATGCAGGATTGCTGATTAATTATTCGAAGATGAAGATAGACATCATAGCACACTTGACATACCTATAGGTGCTCCGTCTCTTGCAGCAAGTGTCTTGAGGTATAGATGCTAACTGTTCCCAAAGCTCACTGATTAAAACATGTTCTCTTCTTCTAATATCTTCTCCCCCCCCCCCCTTTCCCCCCTTTTTTGGGCCCAATTCTTTCGTTCACACATTCTTACACATGTTTTTTTTTTTTTTTTCATGTAATATTGAGTCTTCTATGAGCATTGATTCATCAATGTTCTTTGGAATGTCTCCCTTGTCAAGTAGGAGTGTTGGTGTAGCTATCACGATTAAAGTCAGACAATCCTCTTTTTCATTTCCCAGCACTTCTGCTGTTCCCGTACAATATACCCGCGTGAGTCTTGTAATGCTGATATTCTGACGATTGGTATAAACTCATGCCACATTCGTCAGTTTTGAAACTTTCACACTACTGACTAAAAATCAGTCACTATAATTCCTCTGGTTACTCTTTCTTCTGCTATATGCAGGGTTTTTAAAGATAAGTGTATAATTAAATGAAACATAACTGCGGCATACGGATAATGATGAGAAGGATGGGAATGAGAGCCAGTATGATATCTGAACTATCAGGAAGTAAGATATACCACATTTACAGCAAATGCATTTACAAAAACGTAAAGAACTTGCTTTTTTATCTTAACCTGCTGTAGCTGGTCTTTTGCAAAACATCACTCTCATCTACCTAAAAAAAATTGGCCTCCGGTCATCTGTCCCTTCCCATGCACATTCCTACCGAAAGAACGCATTTACTTTCAGGATATTTTCCTGAGACCCATTTTAGCCCACTTCGAATAAGCTGAACCGACCTCTGCAGATGTGAACCTAACGCACTCAGGCTAACAAGCAAGCTATTAATTTGATTTATAAATCACTGGTTAAACATGCACGCCCACCAGGCGCCACTGTAAGATTTTACAATGTTTCCAAGTATTTCAAAACGAGACAGGAAATCGCTATGTTTGATGTCACCTCTACATTTGAACATTATTCTGAAATAGAACTATATTAAACCAAGTAGAACCGGTTGTTTGGTGGTGGGTAATTGCATTTTAAACATATAAACCTACTATAATATGTGTCGTTGTGTATGTCTTTTCGTTTCTATAAGGATGTGCATTATCTTTACAATCCATATTTACACAAATGTCTTCAGTGGCGGAGAAAAATTTCTGTTATGTTTCTACTCACGAAGTATGTTATTATTATTCTTCTCCGTATGGGTTCCGGGGCTCTATTACAGAGAAAACACGAATATAACCACTGCCTACCCAAAAGCATGTCGTAAAAGTCGACGAATTGGGAGCTTTCTTCGAATTATGAGTGCATCTGCCTGAGAGATAAGAAACCAGCAGATTAAATACAAATGAGTCAGATCTGTAAAACGGATGCACACATAACACCTAGGTTCTGGAACAGGACTGCAATCCGAAAGTGGTTGCAAAACCGAAACTGTCTGCCAAAGTTTACAGCTTGTGAACAGAAAGAAGAAGAAGAAGCTGAAGAAGAAAAAGAAGAAAAAGAAGAAGAAGAAGAAGAAGAAGAAGAAGAAGAAGAAGAAGAAGAAGAAGAAGAAGAAGAAGAAGAAGAAGAAGAAGAAGAAGAAGAAGAAGAAGAAGAAGAAGAAGAAGAAGAAGAAGAAGAAGAAGAAGAAGAAGAAGAAGAAGAAGAAGAAGAAGAAGAAGAAGAAGAAGAAGAATAAGAAGAAAAAGAAAAAGAAAAAGATTATTATTCTGCCCATTATTCATCAACTTTGCTTGAACCATCAGCCATCTCAAGCCAAGTCTGCATATTAACTAAAAGCCATCCCTTGTTCAATGCAATTTTTTTTAAGCTTTACCCTGGCTTTTGCCAGGGCCCATAAATATAGCTAGGCCATAAAAATGGCATAAACTGCTAAATGGGGATTTTGGGACCTCTCCACACGTGATCCTCATCCGCATGGTGACACTTTGTGTCTCCGGGTGTTTATCGCTATGTGTGATATCCTCGCGGGGGAAAATGTCCTACTTTTTTTACTAAGACTTCATAACCTTTCCTTCGATTGTTGTCCCCTTTCTCTTTAATTTACTCCTTAGCTATCTAGATTTTCTTAATTTGTGGCTTGAAGTAGTTTAGTGTTTGGTATTGTATCTGCTCAGAAAATTGTAATAATTCAACGAATCCTATATAGCATTCTCGCCTCAGTTAACAAGATAAACTGCATAATCCCCGTGTGGCTTCTGAGGCCCCATTGCCGGGGCTGGGGCGGAAAGGCGTGTGGAGAGGGGAGGGAGATTACACGCACCGTCACTGTAACATGTATATTGTAAAAGGCGATTAATGATAAATGTTTGATTCGGTGGGAATGCATTTGAATTAGAGGCGAGGAACAAACAGACTTCATATTTTAAACAAAAATCTAGGTCTGCAAAAGAAATGTGCACACAAAAACGTTTCCTGCACAGGGCCATCTATATGAAAATGCCTCTTGTACAGCAAGAGAACATCGAAAATTCGACATAAAATAAAAGAACAAAGTTATGAAACAAGTTCAACACTTCAAATACTTATGGAGGATCTTTACTTATGATGTCAGAATAGAGAGAGATTTTTTTTTTAAAATCAAATAAGCTTACAATGTCACGAATAAACTGGCACCAATTATCAAGCACCTAGTTGTCCCAATTAGAAATACATATAATACATGAAATATTCGTACCAGCCTTGTGATATCAGTTTCAGACTTGGACACTGGCTAAAGGACACGAAAGAAATCTCACCTCCAGCGGAAGGAGATGTTTGAGAAAGACCCTAAACAAAGGTAGAAAAGATCATGCGAGGAACGAAGGAATAAAACAACTATTGGAACGACGTCTATAATTAGATTCATTAAAATAACAAAGAATAAAATGGTTTGGCCATTTCATGAGAATGAATCCGATGATGCTAGCAAAGAGAACGAACAATATGAAAGTAGAAACACCAAGAATTAGGAGACAACCAAGAAGAAGATGAACTGAATGATATCTTGAGACTCCATATCATCACACCATACTGGGCAATACGCGTGCCCTGCACGGAAAAAAAATCATCTGTTAACCTGCGGCGTCTAGCGGCACAAAGAAGAAACAGGGCAAAAGAAAAACAAGACTGGCGAAGTCTAGGCATTGCCCTAACACATGCTCTACCAAGCCTGTTTATGCTGGCATACTTTGGTCAGTTCATTGGTGAGCTGTCTGAAGAGTCTCTTAGCCTCTTTAAAGCTTCTATGTCGAGGGGCTGCTTTGGGTTCCCAGCAGTCTTTGAAAGTGTGTCTGCCTTTTCGTGTCCAGATATTACATCGGATCAGTATCTACTGATGAACTAGGTAGGTTTTGGTAGACAACATTCTGATGTTGTTTTCGATTTATTAGAGGAAGATGTTTTTGGAACATGAGAAGGTTCGGAGAATCGATTTCAAGTCGGGGAATATACCAGTGTTATTATTCAGTTTTGCTGGATTGTTGAGGGTATGGTCACTGAAATATGGACAGCTTCCTCCACTCTGAAGTTGGTGCAAATATGCATGCCGTTAGTGAGTATATCTATCTAATGACTTCCTTTTTTTTTTTTTTGACATCTTTATCGGAATCATCTATAAAAAAAAAAAAAAAAAAACCCCATT